GATGGTCATGTGACGTCACCAAGCACTGTTGGAAGGTTCTGAGGATTTGGAACGAATTGTGTAAATTGTTTAGAGGGATCGGTTCGTTCTAGTTGGAAGACTGGTGACTTTTCATCCACGTGAATTCATTTTACCATAAGAGAGAGAAACCCCTATTACCTTAAGGTTAAACTTCTTGTGGAATGCAGTGGAGCAGTTTGTAAATGTGAAATTTAACGGATGGAAGCTAAAACGAAAATGGCGGCGCGTACAAAATGAAGTACAAGTGGTACTAGGCAACCATGGCTGTCGCTGGCTGTGATTTCCGACAAGCGAGCGTTATGTTTTTGTGTGCTTTTGTGACCGTCTAATGTGTATCATGGTCGTTACTGTATTGAGAGGAACGTGGTTTTGCTAGTGGATAAATACGTCTCCCCATCAGTGAATTTTAATTTGACCGGTTGATGAACAATTCCTCGTTGAAACAGAGTCATCAGCGAACCAAAATGAACTCTTCAAAGTCTAAAGACTCCGACAAGATAACAGGTAAGACGTGACTGCGTTTTACTTTGACTAATCTGTAGTTCCAAACCTAAGAATTTTCCAAACTTTTAACGGATTCTTTGAAGTTAGCTTCTCTAATCAGATGTGGCTTAAAAAAACTCCGATTGTTAGGTATTAATGAACTCATCGATAAGTCTCTCAAGTATAAAGACCTCCATCTACCTTCAGTCTATGTTACTTGCAACGTATAACTGCATAATGTATCGGCTGTGTTGCTAAATTGGAAAATGAAATAACTACAGGCGTTATTGTTCCCCTTTTGTGAGACGCAATCGCGGGTCATCCAGCTAAAAATACATGCAGCGTTGTTGAATTGAGCCCACTTAACAAGCAAAATTCGATAATTTTGAACACATGTTAACGGGAAAACTAAGTTGCTTTTCGAATTAATGTATAAATAAACTGTTTGAGCGGATAGCTTGTCAAAATTTTGGTCCGATCGCAAAAAATGTTTGAAGCCAAGGTCAGCTCGGTCAACCTCGGTTTCCCACAACATTTGTGGACAATTATTCTTTTCGCACGAAGGTTTCTGTGTTCCTGTGAACGTTAGCTCATATTTAATCGTAATGTTCATATTTGACACTGTGATAAATAGAAGAAGTGATTTGACTTTTCGTGGGGGTTGATGTATTTGCCATCAAATAAAAAAGGAAATCGTTGGACAATTTTGTTAATTGAATGGTGCACGGGAAGCGATCGATTTAATTCGAATGACTTTTCGCCAAGAATTTGCCAACCGTTCGTACTAGCTCTTGAATGTTTAACGTGGAGTCGGAAGACATTTCATATCTTAAGTTTATAAATGAGTGGAGAAATTTTTAATTTGTAATTAACATCTCAAAATATCTCGAGGTTGAAATGTATCGACGAGTCATACAGCAAATAAACAAAGTCATCAAAGACAAGTTCTAAGTAACTCGGAGTGTGAAGGCCTCAGTTTTGCCAACTTAAAGTTGATTGTAATAACATTTATTTTCTCTAGTACACCTCGATAACATTTACTGACTTGCTTTGTTTTGTTTTTAAATAATTATTTCTTGAAATGAAATCGCTACCGTTTGGTCATGTTTTATCGAAGCTTTAGGGTCGAAATTTGCATTTGAAAGGCTTCAATGTACACACAGAGTTCCAGGTCCCAACTCGATCATTGAAAGTTACATTCTGGAGGCCCGATGAACTATTCCACTGACAATATTCTTTCTTTTTAACAGAGGCATGTTGCATGGCCTTCACTCCACAGAGCTCGCCAACCCGCGTAAGTATAATCACTTGTGTTATCCGTTTTGCCACTTAAATGCTTTGAAACAAACTCTGTTACATCCAGATTTCGCTAAATTTGTGGTTAGCCTGCCTGCTCCTTTCTATTATTTTTATTTGGAGCCAATGGAATTTACCTGATCTACGCTCACAACGGTTAATTTAGGTCACCAATTTAATGACTTGAATTGTTCATGTTTTGTTTATGTCTCCGCTGTTGTCAAATTTGTCCGGTAATTGATAAATCGCCGGGTTGATTTCGTCGCGAGAGAGCGTAGGCTAAGTTAATTTCGAATCTCACACCAAGGTCGAAAGATTTGTTTACACAACTTGGAAGATTCGATCGTGAGATGTCTCTTTGACTGTGTTGATTTCCAAAGCACGGAGGATACTGGCTTTACGCACGTCACGCGATCGAATCTTTCTAAGGATATCTTGGGAATTATTCATTGAAGCAAATCTGTTCAAATAAAAATTAAGACCATTTCGAACGGAAAATCCGGTCATCTCTGGCATATTTTATGCATCTCCGGTGTGATTAACGACGTAAGTTTGTTTGGCTGAGGTTTGTAAATAACATTGGCGTGCGGATATCCCTGAACAGTCGTTGTTTTGGTTCTTATCTTTGCAATAATCTCACTCTTCTTGAGTTTGTTTGGTTTTTTTATCTGTAAATTTGAAAGGTAAATTTAATCCTACTTTTTTCGTGCCTATCTCCTCTTATTTATTTCCTGTCATTATTTGCCGTTGCTTAGTTTTTTCCTCTGACAAGTTACACTTGGCAGCTTGTTTCTAACTCAAAACAATTTTTTATTTATATTTGATAACAGTTAAATAACTGGCACATCTTGTAATTTCAGTTGTAATAGTTTGAATAATTAAGAATTTGCTTTCCTTTAACTGATTGATTAATACAGTTTTTTTGTTTCTAATTGCCTTCAATCAATTTTGAATTGTCGGTTTTTGAACACTCAAGGTCCAGTTTTTTCTCAAACCTGGATTTCTTTTCCTCTGAAATTTTGGCATGCCTTTACTGGTTTTGTGGGCCTTTTTAACAACAAGAAGTGGTAGTCCAAAATTATTGATTACTCAATTTATACTGCCCAAAATCTCTATTTTTGTTTACCTTTTTCATAATAAGGAAACACTTTGAAAATTGATTCACCAGCTTACAGAATTTTGTACTTGTCAATGAAGAAAATTTGAACTTGGATGAACTTGATGAACTTTGTAAAATATCACTTGACAGACTAAACTGCTCACTGCATGCCTTGCTTAAGGTGCAAGCATTATGACTGTGGCATTCGTCTCGTAAGAGATGTATGTTGCATCTCACCATGGAATTCTTGTGCAATTATGGAGAAAGAGCTAAATTTTTATTGGCAAAGATGGAGAATGCGACTGAGTGGTATTATTAGAAAAGACCGGGGTTTCATTAGAAGCTGGCAACCAGTGAATTCTATGGGCTACTCTCCACAACAGAGCAGGCTACTATGGCCATTCCACCTCCCAGTTTTTGCGTGTTTTTTGGAAAAAAAACCAATATATTCTAAAGGCAGTCATCAATAAAGGTGTTTTTTTGTTGATATTTTGTGTTCTTTTGGATTGTTGGGTGATTTTTGTAATGAGTTCTAACAATTCAATCAACAACACAATCGGTTCACTGTGTGGCATGTTGAATGGACAGAAGAGAAAGACTGGTGACAAATCTGCCTCAATCACTGCTGAACTGTCTTCTGCCTACTTATGTTCTAATATATATACACCTACTTCCGAATTTATTGAAATCCCTGAAATATTTATCTCACTTTGACTTCAGGCCAGTAAAACTAAGTTGTAATGGTGTTGTAGCTTGCTTCATGACTGCCTACTGCAGGTTGCCAAATCGGCAATTTCTGCTGCAAATTTGGTTGCCTTGATTTTTCTAGTTGCCTTGATTTTTCTAGTTGCCTTGATTTTTCTAGTTGCCTTGGTGACTAAAAACAGTTGGAGTGCTGCACTCACTAAATTTGTTTCAAAACAGTTATAGAATCAGCTTATCACTGACTACTGTTTATTGGGTTTTTTATATTTTTCTCAAGTTATTCTTTTCTTGATTCAGGGTGGAGAGGTGATTTTTATAACATTCTCAGATGAATTTCCACTGCCAGACAATGGAGATTTTTATATGGTATTTGAAGGAAGAAACCAGCGACATGTAACAACAGCACAGCAAATAAATACATTCACTCTTCGTGCCATTGTACCAGGTACATTAATGAAAACTTCTCTTGACACAACTGTCTCATAATGGATTTGTACTATTGACCAAGCTGAGGTCAAGAAGGCTGGATATTGGCTAAGTTCTTTGTGAATTAAAGGACCAAGATGAAGTTGAGGTCCATAGTAGCACAAAAAAAAAAAAAATTGAGGCTATATCCAGCCATTTTGACTGCATGAACAAGCTCAGTCTGTAAAGGATTTGTTTATTAGCAAAAAGAGTTTGCTTCAATGAGAATCAAGAATGAAACTTTTTTATTCTAGGACTGTGAGAGAAAGCCAACTTCGATTGGGCAGATTTATTTAAGTTTTCTTTATTTTGACTCCATTACTGACATTGTCCAAAAAATTTACAAACTTTGTAAGTCTGCTCCATGCAATTTGTTCCCTTGTGTGGGGTCAAAGCACACAATCCTGAGCGGGCAAGATGGACCCATCTTGTCAGCTTGGATAGCCAATCTGAACACAAGTTTTGTGTCATCTGTCATCTTCCTCACAGTCACTGCAATTTATTTATTGATAGATGATACAGAGGCACTAAACCTGATGCATTACTAGTGTGAAGAAAGTAGGGAAATAGAGTGATGCACTGAAATTGTTGTCATGACTGTATTCATGCAGGTTCCTACAATTTGGAAAAAGTCAGTTGTGTTTATAACTGCCTGCCAGTTTTTACTCTTTGTGTACACATCAAACCACAAGATATATATACCTTATTAGACGTTTTTTTGTGTAGTATCGCTGATTATTTTTATGAGTTGTGCCATATTTTTATAGTTGTGCCCATAGGGCTCGTCAAAATACAAATAACGAGTAAAAATATGCAGCGATACTACACAACAAAACGTCTAATAAGTTATTCATTATCCAACACGCCAAACTGCTATTTCAGTGCGGGCAAATTTTGCGGATATTTATTTACGAGGAGTGCATGACAGAAGTATGTGAAGCGGAACGGAATTGGTGCATTGTGTTGCAGTTTCTATTTTCTGCATTAAATGAAGAAATTTTCTGGTCGTCAAGCTGTTTTTCTTCGTTTGATTCATCTAATAAACTTGGATCTATATTTGCCAGCCATTCTGACTCTTCGTCGTCGGAAATATGATTCAAATTGTCCGCCACTTTTTCTTTTTTGCAACTACAATTCAATTCTTTGCTTGCGCGATGCGAGAAAACCTGTTTAACCGGTACTCTACAATAGAGGAGTACAAATACTGCGTGATTTGTACTCGTCTATGGTGTTATTTTTACTCGTCTAAGTGTAGTTGGATAATAATGAGGGGATATTGTTATAGATAATTCCTTTTAAATTTCCTTTACCTAACAAAAGTTCTCTTCTTTTGCTCTACATACAAATGTAAATTAATGCCTTGTTTTTATTCCTGTCAGATCATGACCAAGCAGAGAAAGTTACACTCACTGTTTATTGTGCCCAGGAAAGCAAAGTGGGACCTCTTTCATCACACAAGTTTTTATACTGGCTTGAAACAGAGCAGATTATTGCAAAGCTTTTGGCAGACAGTGCATCAGACAGCAAGCTGTTTGAATGCTTAGCATCACTGACCTTGATATCAGATACAGTATCCAAGGAATACAGAGACACCTTAGATTCAAGAATAACAAATGCCTTTGAATTCCTGGATTTGCCCCCAACTTGGTCATTATTTGGTGAGAATGGAGTAGAGAACTTCCAGAATAAAAATGGTAAGTCTCTTAGTTTGGTGTTTTAAAAGTGTTAAATTCCATTGGCTGAGCAAAAAAAACAATATGTGGAAAATGATTTTAACACACAATGTTGTGGCCTGGGAATGGATGATGTGATGTTTGACGGCCTGTTATTATTTTGGCTCCACCATGACTAATCTTTTCCCACCAACCTACTATCTTAATGTTTTTCAAGTTGTACAGTATAGCCATTAATCTACGTAAAAAACCATGCCAATTATGTTTTTCTTAACTTTTGCATGATATGCATGTGGTTTGTTGAGTTTGCTCTGAGTATCACATTTTGGTTGTTAACCCGGTATATTAATGGTATATTTAACCTTACAACTCCCAAGATATGACTATTAATTCTCCTTTCTTGCTACTTTCACATTTTCTGGTAAATAAGTGTAGAGAATTTGGTGTTTGATCAAGTTAACAACTTCCTGGGCTCGACACTAACGGTAGCCCACTAGCCACAGACTAGTGGAAATTCGGTTTTGATTAGTGGTTTTCAATTTCCACCAGCCAGTTTGGCTAGTAAACAGACTGAAATTGATGTAACATCTAAAGACATCTAAGATGTCAGTAGCCACTTGGCTAGTAAGTTGAAAAGTTAGTGTCAAGCCCTAAACTTCTACACAGAACAACTTCATTACCTGTTTTCTGGATAATATATGGATACTTCAGAGAGGTGGTACATGTTAATCTCTTCTGGGAGTTTAGGGGCTGAGCAAATGGTTGCAGGGATAGTTGTAGTTGCCAACTGTTTGAGAATTGAGAATTGAGAATTTGAGAATTCAATTTTAAACTGATGCCTTGTTAGGTGTATGCCTCACTATTGTAATTGTGTAATGGCAATGTAAATATAGCAGGGCCAAGGTTTACATAGACCTTGCAACTTAATCAAACTTTGAAAAAAATTATTAAAACATTTGTTGAGAGATTGTAAATAAGATTCTGACATTTTCAGTAAGCCAAGCATTAACATTCAAATGTTTTATAAATACAACTGTTTTGAAATTTAATATGGTTTGAAAGTTGCTAACTTTTTTGCTTACCCACAGGTTTGGCTTTTTTTCAGTCTAAAGTTTGTACTTGTTATTTTAGTAATGCCTAAAATTTAAGATTTCCACAACAAAAATGTTGTTTTGTTTCAAACTGAAACAGAAATGAAATAGACTTCTTGATAAGCAGCACATTTCCTGAGAGGTTCTTTCATTGAAGTTTAACAACACTTGCCAAGATGATTTTTCATCTATTTCTTCATCCCCAGGTCAGGAAACATTACTTCATCTTTCAGCACGTCTAGGATTTACTCAACTGGCAACGTATCTTCTTGACCAGCCAGGATCAATGGAGGCTCTTCACATTCAGGACAAGTCAGGCAGATTACCTGAGGATATAGCTCGCGAGAAGGGAATGAAGTTACTTGCTGACATGTTTTCAAGGTTAATATCATACTCAGTGTCTCAGAAAGACGTCTTGACGCAACAGACAATTTTTTTTAAAAAGTTATTTAACTAAGCCTCTGTATAAAAGATGGAATATGAATAGCATCTAAATTGTAGTAACAACAAACTTGTTACCATGAAAATGCAGTCTTTATCAGTAAGAACTTATTCGAGTCTTTCCTCAGGTTGTTATGTCTTCAAGTTGCTTGCTCTTGTGTATGATTATTGTGCTGGCATTCTCTGTGTGGATAAAGAAAAGTTGTGCCCTTCAAGAATTCGAAAAAAAAAATTTTTTTTGAAAAAAAAGCTGTCAAAGTGGTCCGTTAAATTTTTACTGCTGAAACACTGCAGTTTGTAACTTTTCCAAAACCATAACTGGCTTATAGACTCGCAGTTCTGAGTTATTTTCGTGTCCTCACACAGGGGTCCAGGTGATTGCGAGAAGAGGACTGCCAAAGACATGTCTAAACCACAGGTCAAAAAAAGTGAGCTGGGTACCACCACAATATCCAGTTACAAAACTCAACAACAGAACTCCCTTGGTGAGTGTTAATCCTTCAGACCCTCAGAGTGACCAGCATCTAATTTCTCCATACAGTAATACCGTTGAATCATTCATTAACATGGCTCAAAATTAATAGAAAAGTTCAGTTGCCATCTTGCGACTTGATACGTAAATATAGTCGCAAGTTCACGAATTTTAGTCACAAAAATCCAGTGGTTTAACCAACAAAGATATGAGCCTGCAATACATATGAATAAGAGACTGCTGCAATGGCAGCCGATCAAGGTAATGGCGTTGCATGCACAAAATTGCAGATAAATTAGGTACAATTTTATTCTACATCTTCAAATGTCTATGATAATCAAGGCACACGACAATATATTTTTTCGTTTCTTTATTTATTTCAGCAAAAATAGTGGTAAAGTAGCGACTGCTGGCTTTTTCATTCTACTCGTAAATTTGCAACTCCTCAGGAAGCTTTAGTCACAAACATAAAAATTAAGTCGCAACTGCGACTGTATTGGTCGCAATTTCAAGCCCTGATTAAGATCAGGAGAATAAAGAAAATGATCTCTAGCCTTTGTAGCTTTGTTTATTAAATGAATTCTTGACTGCACCAAAGGAAATGTATAGAGAACAGTATGGAGAATATGCATACTGATGTTGCAATGTAAATTGTTATATACCTAGACTTTCACTCAACAAAACAAGCACTGTGATTGGTTGATTCTTGATCATGTGCCCCTGATCAAATTCAAATGTATCCCAACTGAATACAAAAGCATGTTTTTGCCATATAATTTTAAGAAAAAGTGTAAATATATAACAGAGCACTTAATGTATGGTCCTTCGGTAAACTAGTTAGGTTTGTTTTCCTTTAAGTCCTGATGTTTCCCTCGATGAAAACAAAACTAACTGTTTCCCCCAGGACCATACATTAAGTGTGTAATGTTAATTATGTCTAGCTACAAATTTTGCACAAACACAAAACCTGAAGACTGCTTAGATACTCAGCAGTTTAATTTCCCTAAAAGGTACACATTGTACAACCGGGTGGTGTTTCTCAAACGTGGTAAGTAGAATCTTTGTTATTCCCGCTTTGTTCTCAAACTTTAATTTATTTATCTTAACAGAAAAGGATATTGAAATGCTCCAAGACATTAATTCATTGGTTGAAGAGGAAGTAAGTATGAACATTAAAATACTGAAATCACCGGGGAGGATCAACTGTTCTTTGCATGGCAAAATGACTTGATTCATGACTCTCTTTTCGTTAAATTAGATCCTATCAAGATTGAATTTTGAATAGTCGTGTCAACAAAATATTATTCAGGGGAAATAATGCATTCATAATGATATTGTCTCCATTTCTACTTTTTGCCTTTAGATGAAAAAAAGAGTACCAAAGTTCCGTCACTCTTGGCCAGTTCGAAGAAAAAACAAAGACACAATAGGTCTGATTGTTGCTCTTGACTACTTCTCTTTTTTCCATGCTGTGTTCTGTTGTTTATTATCCTAGTGTCTAACACCTTGGTTATGATTTGAAGCATAGTAATGTTGCCAAGTTCTCTTGTAAAAAAAAAAAAAGTGGTTTCTAATGATTTTTGTATATTTCATGGATTTTAAAATTGACCTCTGAAATAATGTATTTCTTAGAAGATGCATCTAGCAGTGATGAGGAAATAAAGCAAATCAACAGAGAGCTCTCACCAAAGAAGTTCACCAGTCAACTGAACAGTATGTCATCAGTCAGAAGCAGTGGGGGTGGCAATAGACAACTATTAGGTATTTTTAATTACTAAAACTAGGATTAGGTATTTTATTCAGTAAATGGTGCATGGATAAATGTAGTGCAGTGGGTAATGTGAGCAGCAGTTAGTCTCCACCTTAATTTCTGTGGAAAAAAAAGACAATAGGAAAGAGAAGAAAACTTAAAAAAGAGATTGATTGTAGGTTTCTATGTTACATGTATCAAAACTGAGATCCATGTAGCATGTGGATTAATAAAGGACCGAGTGGAGTCCAATAGGCCACTTTGCAGTTGTGTACTTAGTTGCCAAGCCTTTGATTCAGAGTGAGGCTGAAGGTGACCTTGTTGTGATAGAGACCTGTATCTACTTAGCATGATAACAAAGTTATTTACATTTGAAAGGCAGCAAGGTTTGTATCATAACAAGGTCAACCTTAGCCTCACTCGCATTCAAAGGCTTGGCAACCAAGCACACAACTGTAAAATGGACTATTCTTTCGGTAATCGTAAGAGCGACTAACAAAATTGGACAACCATGAAACGGGAGTCAGATTTGTTTATCACGAGTATGATTACAAACAGAATTGGACGACACGAAGTCCTGTTACCAATTAATCAAAACTATGAAAAATTCGACAAAGAAAGTAGACATCGTTTATACGTTTTCATAAAAAGAAACAACAGTTAACTCGGCGTAATGCGCGACAACAGCACGCGCACATGACACATTCTGTTCACTTACACAGGCATGACGTGTTAACTGTCCCTTGCAAGGCTCCAGTTTGGACGCTTTTCCGCTGAAAACTCTTAAACTTGGCTGGGTAGCTTTTCATTCAGTAACATTTCAGTTGAAATGTTTAGATATTCAACGTAATCCTTAATCAATATAAGAAACTCGTCCCAGTCCTCTCACGTTTCTGCAATGGCCCATTACACTTTCCAATTACAAGCATGACAAGTACACTATCGTATTTGTGCTGAAATCGGGCTGATGATGACCAATCACGTTCGAGAATTTTGTTATAATCTTGATTAAACTGTTTTTTTTTTTTGACCTGTTGATTGTTCGTTGCTTTCAGAACAAAATCTGAAGAGACTGAGGGCCATCAATGAAGAAATACAGAAACTTAGGATGGTCAACTCACAGAGAGGTTCTAGAGAGGTATGGTACTGAAAGGATTTACATCTACAGGGGTACTTCGAGGGATATTAGGGAAAGTTCTTTTTTGGCAGCTTCGGTTTTCTCCCTTATTTTAAGTACAAAAGGTAAAAGAAATTCTTAAAGCGGTAGAGCAATCCTGTTACCTGTAACAAAAGGTACCATAGGCGGTAAGTTTTTACCGTTTCTTTCCTGAAAAGGTGAACACTGCATCTTTATGGGCTATCGAGGTTTTTTTGAGGTCTATGAAAAAAATCTCCAGCAATCTTGACAAAATAAGCCTGGACAGTAAATGATAAAAGGCATCAAAGAATTTCTTTTTGCAGAAATAAAGCAGGTAATCCTGTAAATAAGTCCATCTTTCCCACTAGAACGTTGTAAAGAATACAGGACTTTTTTTTAACTTCCCCCTATCAGAAGTGCTTCAAACCAAAAACCACAAGAAGAGTTCGTTTTACTTTTCAAGATGTGCTTCAAGTTCAGGTTCAAGATGTGCTTCAAGTTTCAAGATAGCAAAATTGGCTGTTGGGTTTTCAGTGTTATTTTATCACGCTATTTAGAGTAACACATCGTTGAATTCTAGGCCGGTAGAGGTGGTATGCAGGGAAAGCATTTGCGTCGCTTGTCATGCCCATCATTAAGTGCACAGGACCTACAACAAGCTCAGATTATTGCAGGTAAAGTAACAGTTTCATAACAACTTACACATGTATTTTAAAGTTTGATTTCGAAGAATGAGCAGAAAAGAAAGTTTTGAATGAGATTTTAAGGCATAGACGGCGGAGCAGTGGGGCTGTAGCCCCCCCGAACAAAAATTTTTTGGAGGCACAGCCCCCTCCCCCCCCCTTACGTTTGGTGCCGAAAATAACGCGAGCGCAGCATAAAAATTGGCAAAATATTCGGCCTCGTGATCCCATAAGTAGCATACCTTTTATTACTATCGTGCTAAAATAAAGGTTGTCTATCTTTTCAAAAATGCTCAATTTAATCAGCATAGCGCTTGGCGAAATGATATGTTGCAAAACCTTTTTTTTGAACAGCTCTGGCTTGTGTTTGAGAAGCAACATTACTCCATTCAACTAGACAGCATGTCTAAGAAATTAGAAATGATTTAATTTTGTTTCTGAGAACCCAGTCGAATGCAAAGCTGAAAAATTTTCGATCGTGCCCGAGATGAAAAGATGAAAGTAAGTCACAAATCGATTATGGACACACTAGAAACTGTAAAGATTGCAAAGGGGTTGCTTGTGCTAACGAACAACGCAAAGGGCATTTGGGAAAATTCGAGTAGGGGTGTGGACATGCCAGGGTAAAGATAAGGTCCCCCCTCCAACGTTATCAAAATGCTCCGCCGCCTCTGTAAAGTTATTATCACTTTTGTTTTTACCACTAGCTATTGTCATTATTTCTATCTCATTCTTACCAATAATTTATCTTTTTTTATCGAGTCTCACTGCTAGATAACCAATGTATGTGTCCTTTTATGGTTTCAGGGATGAAATCTAAGGAGGAGAAATCGATTGTGAATGGTGTTACTGATCAAAAGGTTGGAAAAGCAAGCCCTCTAGGTGTTAATCTTAGAACTTCTCCCGATAAAATAAGAGAAACTATTCAGAGAGAAGAGGATTCCTCTTCTAGCGCAGACAATAAACTTCTTACTGTGGATGGTAAGAGTGATGTACGACGCGCACATAGCTGGGGAAAACACGAAGAGAAGCCTGAACTAAACAAGAGAGTCAGCTCAAGCCTTGATGATTTAACTAAAGAAGCTGACAGTGAAGAAAAAGTTGAAAATGAACCACGGAGCAGGATACAAGCTCTCAAAAATAAGAGACCTGTGTCATTGAATCTTGACAGTCCCAAGGAAGAGGGGAACAAACTTGCAGATATTTTAGATTCTATAAAGAAGGCCAGTGATGATAAACAAAACTTGGGTAAAGCATCTAGCAATGTGTCTATAACTTCGCTGACTGATGTTGATGTCAATGTGAACCATAAGGACAACGGTCTTCTTGGTCCAAACAAAAGTAATCTCCATACAAAATCGTATTCTTACAGTTGTTTGGCTGACCTTAAACTTGGAGAGGATGGTAAGTATTTCCAAGATCTGATTATAACGTAACCAAAGTAAAGCGCGCGCTCTGATTGGTCAATTCACACACACATTGTACGTTTGGCAGAGTGAGATTAGGAAGGTGGTCACCTCTCCTAAGAATGTTTTGGTTCTATCAACTGAGTTGAAGCTCAGAAACTCTTGAGGTGAGCAATTTATATTTATCAACTCAGTTGATCGAACCAAATTATCTTCTAAGACCCCAACGAGAATACCCTGCTTTCAGTATTTCAAAATTTGTTGTACATCTGATCAATGAAAGCTCTGCTCTTTTAAGAATCGTTGGGTGTCTAGTGACCATTGTCTTGAATATCCAGGGCACTGGCTCATAAAGCTTGAAAATTATAACTTGAAGTTTTATGGCTTGCTCAAAGTTAGAAGTTAGTGATGTGTGGTTCCCAGTCTCTTCTAAATCACAGTCCTGGCAGTAGACGTCCATACAAGGCTGCGGGGAGTAATCCTTACCAATTCTTTAGTTTAGTTCCCATGGCCTCAGGCTGAGGTTCACCGGTTATAGCTGAATTTGGAAATATTAGATTGGGCCTCTGTTTAAAAGAAGACAATTCATGGTTTAAGTGTGATTTGAACCACGTTATTGACATATTTTTAATGCAAGCCAATTAAAATTTTCAGGAAATCCTATTGAGGACAAAAAGCCTGGGTAAGTAAAGTATTAAGTTACTTTCCTTTGTCAAAAAGGATTTCACCAGTCTGGTAAAATAATTTTTTCTTCTCAAGGAGTGTTTTTAGAACAGTGGGCCGGTTATTTACACGAAGTCTTACCCAAACCGCGCCATCAGTGATTCTCAGGCTCTCATATAAATGACAACAACAATGTTCAAAACTAAAGTGACATTTCTGAGAGTATGCCGACCTTAAATTTCGGATATTCGCCACTGTCCATATTTCAGAAGTTTGCAATTGTTTTTGCGAAAGAAATTTTTTTCGCCGACGTGGCGAGGATTGCTGAGCGTTTTATTACATGATACGTCATTTTTATTGTCTATTTAAGCAATAGAAAACATTTTTTTGTGGGCTATATAACGTGATAAAGCCACGCGGGATGTTGGGAGAACACGAGCATAAGCTTTCCGAGTGGTTTTATCACGTGAAAGAGCACAACCAAAGTAAAGCGCGCGCTCTGATTGGTAAATTTAGCGTCCCTCGCTATCGCCTTGAGCGACTCTTACGCTTCTTTCGTGCTTAGCAACCTCCCGCGTGCATCCATAACTCAATAGTGTACGCTGTGGTGTTTACCATTTGTTAAATAGAGCCCGGAAAAAATGCGTTCTATTGTTTTTATTCCATGCAGGCTCTATAACCTGATAAAGCGTCCACTTCAGTGGAAACTGAATTGATTCATCAGATGATGCTTACTTTGTTCATTATGTTATAAACCTCCTTGACAATGACCCACGACTATTGAGGGCGTGAGAATTTCTACAGTTATTGTTAAAAAAAAAAAGAGGGTTGATTCGATTAAATTTATATCAATCTACTATTAGCTTTCGGCCCTCTTGACCCTGTTCACAAAAATAAATGTTCAGATGAACGATCGCATTGTTTATGACGCGGTTTTATGAAACCGGCTAAACTTTGTCTAAATTATCGGCTCAGCTTGATTCAGACACTCTTTTCATCCTTTAAGTAATTTTTTTTTTTACGTGAATTTTTTTTTGTGCACTGTCAGTTTTCTCCCCACGACTTTCTCTGACTTTCCATTAACTGTACATCTATCTCTGCCTTGCACTGAGTCTTGATTGAGAAGTCCTGGGCGAGAATCTGTACTCTCATCATACCCCTCTCCGCGCGGGAGCGAGTCTGGCATCCTGTCGAGGGGTGGGGTGAGGTAGACATACTCTTGGCCTCTTAATGTTACAGAAACCCGGAATAAGCGTTAGCATTTACGGGCCTCCGTGTCTCCAAGACTTACTAAGACTTACATAACCTTTTTTGTCACTTATGCAAAACATTTTGTTTTTAGATCTCAATTTAGCCCTGAGGTTCAGAAGAGAAATCTATCCAAGGTCGAGACACAGATGTCATTGATGGACTTCCTGAATGAGGAGTGAGTTCTGCCATCTGTCTTCTTATTAACTGATAAAAGGAAGGACGAGATAAACTTAAGCGAACTGATACTAATTTGAAATATGTTACTGAAATCTCTTACTTTAACATGTGATCTTTAACGACAACAGAAATAATAACATATAACGTTTTTTTTAAATCTCGCCGTTCAAAGTCTCATTTTCTGTTAAAAATCTTTAATTTTGTTTAAACTTTTTTATGAACGGTGAAGAAAAAACTTGAGGGTTTCAACCTCAAAGAACAACAAGAAAGATTTAAACTGGAAAAAATAGTTTATCCATAATTTCCTTCTACACTTGCTTTGCATAATTTAAGAGAAATGTTTAAACCGTAAGATAAATCATAAAATATAACAAACTTTGCATTGCCTTGCCACCATTCTCTTGTTCAGTCAAAAAAGACGACACCTGCGTTTAACCGCTAAAACAACCAAGAAGTGGAATTCCTTGTATACTCTAGCAACGATAAGGTAATGTTTAAAGAGGAAGACGGCACGTCCGATTGCTTTGTTGAATTTAATGCTAACGAAAGAGAGCATTAGTTAAGAGACTGGATCCGTAGTGCCTTATTCCTGAGCTATTCTTAATTCATTCCCTTGGTCGGAGATCTATGGAGGATCTTGAAACAGCCAATCCTGTGTCGTGAATTTTGCCAAAGTGGACGTTAAATACAGCTTCTATTCGGTCTCCCCCCAAAACACTCCGGAGGACTAGATGCATTGAGTCTAAACATATTCGAGAACTTAAGAGGTATTCCCTTTGGAATAGGGCCTATATTAGGGGCTCGGTTACTTCTTTTGCTCTTTGTTTGATCGAAGAAAAGTTACGAAAACACGTTTGAAGAGGATAGTTTATTGTGTGTTCTTTAACAATCCTAAATGTTTACTTCCAGCTAAAAGGACACAGAGTTAAAAAACCATTTACTCTAAATAACATTAGTTGTAAACTGAGACTCAAACCAGAATTTTTTGTGTTTTTTGTGATTAGTTTGACAAATTGGGATTGGTTATGGACATAGAGGTCTTCAAAAGTATCCCCAACAATTGATATTTTACTTTGGAGACATAGAGGAGTTGTGGAGTGTGAATACTTACTTGAATGCGGCACTCACTCTCATGCGAAGAGTTTCTCACAATGATCGACCTTTAAATGAACATTTACAACAAAAAGATTTTTTCAGGCAGTTGAGTGGAAGGGTGGTTTTTAAGGGTGATGAATTCTGTAGGAATTGTAGCACCGAATGATATCTATATAAAAAAAACCAGATAATTGATTTTCCACAAACGTGAATCTTAGGTAATACTGATGTAAGGTTAAGAGTTCTTTGGCGACACGAAATGGTTCTTGTAAGACAAGGAAAGTAAGTTAAGTTTATGTAGTTATATTTTATTTTTTATTTTTTTGCAGAGAAACTCAAGACAAAGCTAGTAACAGGTTGTCGTTGGAAGAATTTCTAGGAGAAAAGTGAGTGTTTTGTAGATTATTGAAATGTTTTCTTTGGTGTCATAATGCGAATGCTCGAATCTACTATTACGGGATCTATTATTACGACTGATTTGTTAAAGCAACGCTTGGTCAAAATATTCTATCTAAACATGTCAATGGGTTTGATTCGACTAAGTTTAAACCATTTACAGTCTGACAGGTACTCTTGAACTCTGATGAAAGTATAACAGGCCTCGGTCTTTTCTGGTAATTCAGAGTTCGCCTGAGCCGTCTTCAGTGGATTCGCCAATCTTTCCTTCGCTCATTTTCAAGTCGTGATCTCCCTGGAAAACTTGATTTAACAATTTACATAAAAAATGTGCATTTGTAAATCGTTTGTATCAAAAAAAGAACGTTTAAGGGTTTCGACCCTTAGAGGACCGGCAAACTCGAAAGGAATTTCCATTTTACTTTCGTAATTTCATTTTACTTTTGTGCATGTTAATGTCGAGAAAGTGAGAAATGTGAGGTTTACCTCTCTGCAACTTACTGTTTTAATTCTTAAAGTTATGTTATGTTGCTCCCATTGCAGTGGTCCAGACTTAAGTGCGGACGATTCAGAAGAAGTGGAAAAGGTAGATAACACTTACTTTTTATTTCATGGTTCATCAGGCAGTATTGCGAGATATTTGCACTCGTTATGGTTAATTTACAGATAGTTTAAAGGCGTTCGAACTGAACAGCCATTAGACGTTAAGCTCAAAGAGTATTTCAAGACATTTCCAGAAACTGATACAGTGCTTAACGTGTTAACTTTGGCGTGACACATATGGACGTAGTAGGGAATGTATGCAGTTCACACGCGTGAAATGCGTGAGAATTCAGAACACGCGCGTCCAACGCGGGTAATGCTGCCATACTCAAGAGAAGCACTGCAGTTCTTCAAGAGTCTCCTGTGGCTCATTGCTGGAGCTCGAAATTCTTACGAATGAATCAGATGTTTTCTTTGTAATGCGTTCGTGTCAGCTGCTTTAAAAAGTGAAATCCTTTAGAACTCTGGCTTGAGGGCTTGACTTGGCACGATAATCCATGAAAATAGCCCACACCTGGATAGCTTCCTTTACGATTCTTGGAGATCACAAGCGTAGGTGTTGGTTGAATGATCACTATGCATTTGTATTTGCTTTTAACGCTGCGTTGCCAGACATCTTGGTATGGTCAGTAGCATAATTTGATTATTCTAGATTTTGTTTTGAAGTTGAAAACAATTTCCAGTATGGTGTCGAAAGTCTTCCAAGTCATATACTACGAGCAGTCCTTCCAAACTTTTCGAGCGCCCGAATCATGGAGGTTCCACGGTGTATAGACGTCATCTTAGAGCCCCCGCGGCGCCTTAACATCAATTTTTTTTTCACCGATTTTTTTGACTCGCGCGACGGACTTCATGAGTCATTACTCTACTTCGCTTGCTTAGGCGCTCGCATTTTCTACGCTTCTTAAAATCATATTTTATTAATATTGAATTCCTATTATTCCTTAAGATTTTTTTTTTCTATGACTAGCCGTTATAATTATTGTGCTTTTGGTTTTTACGACACTCGATTGAAAAGTGCTCTATTTGCAACATACAGTGTACGCTGAACATACAGTGTACGCTGAAACTAGCTCCGACGAAGGGCTAACGCTGGAAACGTCAGCTTTTGTAATCGTTACGGTGGCCAATTTACCATTTGAACTTTGTTGATATATCCAAATTAATACGCTGAAACTAGTCTCCCTCGTAGCCATTTCTGTGTCGTCACCCAAGGAAAGCCTTGCGTAACGACACAAAAAAACATTTGGGAGGGAAACTACGCTGAATCGCTCCCAGGTATGAAATAAGTTTGAAGTGTTTCTTTGTACTAGTATTTCGCAGGATTTTTGAAGGTTTTGAGACTTCGTTTGTCCCCAGATTTAGCTTACGTGGTCAGATGATGCCTTCAGCACTCATTACCAGTAGTAAATTATCTTGTATGAAAATTTACCACTCTTTTTTTTAATTACAGGAAAAGCAAGAAGCTGGTAAGGGCATTAGACGCTTAAGCATGCTGTTTGGAAGCAAGTCCTCATCTAAGGTATAAAGTTTAGTTCTTTTTTCAGTTTATGCTCTTTGGTTTTGCAGCACTTGTTGGTTATCAATGCCCTCAGGGCAGTGTCTGATATTTTTTGTTTTATCCACTTCAGCAATTGAAACGTGAACTTCCAAAGATTCACAAGGGGAGCAACAGAAGCAGCCTTAGAAAAGAGAAGAGCTTCGGTAAGTTTGTTACTCTTGATAATTCATTTCATTGTATTGTATACAGTTGTTATTGGCAGATGCACTTGTATCGAATTACATGGTGGAATTCACTTGAAAGGAGAAATAGATTCTGCGCTTAGGCAGGGGCTTTAATGGGCCATTTTACAGTTGTTTACTTAGTTGCCAAGCCTTTGATTTGGAGTGAGGCTGAAGGTGACCTTGTCGTGATGGAGACCAGTATCAAGTTAGCATGATAACAAAGTGATTTACATTTGAAAAGCAGCAACATTTGTATCATTACAAAGTCAACCTTAGCCTCTTTCCTCTTCAAAGGCTTGGCTACTAAGCAAAGAACTGTAAAATGTTGCCGGCGGTCTACCCTCCCTCCCCTCCCTCCCTTACCGCCGTCTGTTTAGCTTGCGAGGAGGCTCCAGTGTTTGTGTTACGCCTTGCGGTCCCTTTTCGGGCACAGCTGCTAATGGAAAAAGTTGTCAAAACCACTGGCTAAGGACGTGTAAAGATACGGATTGGTGACCAGTTTGGCGCATACATTTCTTGTGTTAAGTTTGTGCATCCGTCGAAACTCCACCCTGTAGTTTTCACGTTTCCGTTCAATTTAATCTTCTCCATTGGTGACCATTCTCGTTCTCATCTTGTTTTTTGTTGCCCATTAAGTTTTTTCAATTTTTTTTCATTTTTTTTTTTCAATTTGAGGATGGTTTTGTAACAGTTATAAATGTATTTTAAACAGTTGCGCGGAGTAAAGACAGTGAAGATATTAAGAGGGAGACTGGGGATGCTAAAGAACCATTCAAGACCGCGCTGGGAAGAAGAGCCTCGGGGATTCCAGGCAAGTCTTCCAAGTCTGGAGAACAGGTATGTAATGATAGAGTCTCTGCTCAAGTGGTTGGTTTCTCAACTGACTCTAGTGAAATATTGGGTTCCATCGAGTTTGTTGAAGCCAGAGAATATGGTGTGATCGTATTCTCTTCTGTGAAGAAATCTCGCTGGTCTTTCTCTAGTCAGTCGGCAGGGTTTCAATCAGAAACGGTTTCCAAGGGTCTATTGCCCCCTATGAGACATCCTAGCACTGTCTGTTTAGCCTGCAAGCTTTCGTGCTTGGGTTTCGCCTTACGGCCCCTTTTCGGTCGCAGCTACTTAGAACACTATAGACAGCCACTCAGGGAAAAAGCTTTGAAATCTTTGCGGTTGGGATGTTTCTGTTTCATTTTAAAACACGCATGCCTGTTTTTAAAGATTTGGTCGGTTGAGGGTTTTTTTTTTGATAGTTACGAAATAAGATTATGTTCGATTTTTTTTATTGACTCCTCGGTCGTTACATTCGACTTGTATGGTTATTTGTGCCTTTTATGCAGTTAATTTTGTTAACTTATGACCTGTTAACTTTGACCTCTGTTGAATCATGTTAACTTGTTGTGACTTGCCTACCGTTTTAGCTTCCGGCATTACCTAACCCAGGATTGTTAACACGGGCGGGTCGAGGCAGTGTGTCCTCCAGATCCAGTATGCACAACAAACCAACTTCTCCTCTGCCATTTCGAAGGTAAACCCTGAAGCGCTATTGTGTCCTGGTTATGACTTTGTAGCATGCCTCACTCCCAGAATTCTGCGCGGCCGCTGACATAATTTTTTTTATTGATTTTTTTTTGGAGCGAGCAGGGAGTTACTACTCGTAGTTTTGTAGGTTGCGTCAGTCATTTTTTTTGTCGTTCTATCTAAAGTAGGAGCTTCACAGTGGATGATGAAAACAAGGAAAAAGACAAAGACAAAGGAAAAGACAAAGATAAACCCAAGTAAGGATTTTCTCCAATCCAGTTTGTTCTTGATTTAGACATCATGTTAAACCTTCGACTCGATGAGGGCAAGGTCGTGTTCTTCGAGGAACGTCAAAGCCTGGAACAAAACAAAACAAAACAAAAAAACTCTTCAATATACAAAGTAAAGTCAGGTCGGACTTCGCGTTCGGATGCTCCACCAAATGAACTAACGAGAACACTTATAGAAAATTGGTCAAGCTGGGACGAATTTGAGCCTAGCTGTAAACATATTTTGACTTCGTTGTTTTTTTCTCTTTCAGTACGGGTGTGTCACCAGATGCGTCTGGAGATGATGAGGATTATGATGAAGGGGGTAAGTGTACTGTCAGTCAATCGTGAAACAGTTGTTTCAGTTCATGAGGGACTGAATCAGTCAGTCAGTCAGTCATTTAGAAAGTGCGTCAGTTGGTGAGTCAGACAGACAGACAGTGAGTCAATCAGACCGTGGGTCAGTCAGTGAGTCAGTCAGACCGTTGGTCAGTCAGAGAGTCAGACAGACAGTGAGTCAGTCAGTCAGTGAGTCAGTCTTTGAGTCAGACAGACAGTGAGTCAGTCAGACGGTCAGTCAGTCAGTGAGTCAGACAGACAGTGAGTCAGTCAGACGGTCAGTCAGTCAGACGGTCAGTCAGTCAGTGAGTCAGACAGAGAGTCAGTCAGACCGTGGGTCAGTCAGTGAATAAGACAGACAGTGAGTCAGTCAGACCGTGGGTCAGTCAGTGAGTCAGTCAGTGACTTAGTTAAACAATGAGTGAGTGAGTGAGTCACAAAGCCAATCAGTCGGTTAGTCAGTGAGTCATTCATTCACTCAGTTTGTGGGTTTGTCTGTCTGAATGACTGAAAGGAGAGTTTAAAATATGGCTTAAGTGTAGAATACCCGCCAACTGGTTTTTCATAATAACAATAAAGAAACACAGAATGTTTAACTCGATGTACAGAAACTTCTAGAGGATTCATTTTCTGTGAGGCTAGCTCCATATTTCATTGCCTTCTGCTTCTTATTTTTGTGAATTATCACACTGTTCTCAACTGCTACTTTAGGCTTCTGTTTAAAAATCTAAGACTGTGAACTTCATAACTTTCTGACATTTTACCCTTTTTCCTTTTCCATTATAGAAGTAGGCGATGAGGTAAGCTATCTTAAGCTTTTTAGATGTTTTGCCATCCTAGTCTTTTTTCAGTTTATCAGTGAAGAGAAATAAAATGTGTTCCAGCCAAAACGTTGGAATGTTGACGTATATGGTTTCTTTTTAATCGTAACTGATCAGTAACGTACTCATTTGCGCTTAACTTTTGTTCGTTCAGCATCCAGGCGATCCTGATCTGGACATCAAACCTGAACCCGAAGCTTGGAGCGTTGCGGTCGACAAGAAGGTGAAGTCATGAGTACCTCTCATTTCAGTTTTACTGTAATCGTGTTCGATTGCTCCTTGCTGCAATCTCGTGCGACGATGTGAAAACATCACCTGTTGTGATCCGGGTTGAGGTTTGAGATCGCGACAACTGAGATAGACCTGACAACAGAACATTCTCTATCGCGTTCCCAGCAGAATGTCTATGACAGTTCGTCATTACATAGAAAAGATAATTTGGTGTTATATACTGAGTTCATAATGTGAATTGGCCACTCGAAAGAGTTGTTAGTGCTTACGTTTTGAGCGTCAGTCCATCGTAAGAGCGAAACGAGACTTGGCTTTGACCCTCAGTTGCTACATAACCTTTCCTTCAAATTTAATAAACTGTCAATCATTTAGTTGACAAGAATAAATAAAATTGTTGTTATTTTATAACATCAAACTCCTTACACCAGCCTACAGAGATATTTTATTTTAAGTTGGGACCTGACAACGCAATGTACAGGGTTTGTGCACAGTCGCTTATATTGTTTCCATTCCATTCTTCTCCTCAGATTCTCAAAAGCTTGTCAGCTAAAGATATTAAGAGACAAGATGTGATTCATGGTAAGACGAATATTTCATAGCCTACGAGCAGGCCCTTACTAATTGGGTCGCAGGCCGCGCGCTAGCCCACGTGCACCCTCCCCTCCGTTCCTCCACGGGGGGGGGGGGGAGGGTGCGGCTACATGTAGGCTAGCCGCGCGTTTCTCCACCCGCGGGGAAATTCGAAATGAATCATGGAGAGGTTTGCTGGGGGCTGGCACTAATATCAGTGCTCGACTCCTCGCGGGCTGGGTTACTCGAGGCCTCATACATTCCCGCGGGTGAAGAAGCGCCCGTCCCTAAGCGATAATAATGAAGGCTTGCTTGTAAGGTAGGTGTATCTTTACAGCTTATTGTTCCTTCAAACCTTGGCATATTGAAATTTCGGGTAACGTGTTACAGACTTATGTGACAGTAATTCACCTTGTATTATTATTTTTTTCTTTTAGAATTAATACAAACTGAAGTTCATCATGTGAGGACTCTAAAAATTATGCAGAAGGTAAGAACTAAAGAGCTGATAAATCGCTTAGGCGGGCAAATGTTTTATTTCGTGGAGTAGTTTTCAATTAAGTGTCGAAAGAACAAACCCAAAGTACATATAATAACAACTACCAATCGGAACTTAGGTAAACATCATCATCAACCAATGAGAACTCAGAGTAAAAGCAGGCAACGTGCTGGAAGCGCGGGAAAATGCTGGTGATCAAGTTATGATCGGTTTTAGTTTGGCATTTGATTGGTCGAGAGGGTGGCGCGAGTTTTCTGAAACAATCACAAAGCAGAACCAACGTAATCTGGAATCACTTTCGTTGCCCAATTGAAAACTACTCTTTCACCTGAACGAGTTTACTCTTAACTGTCTGACCTAATTTGTTACAATCCTCTTCCATTCCGACCATTCTTAAAAATCAATTTGTATTGCACTACTATGCTACTTTCCAAATCACGAACTGGAGTTTTTAAATGTGCTCTTTGTATTGTTGATATGTTTTTGTTTTCTGTTTTTTTTTCTGTTTTGTAGATATTTTATAAAGGGATGTTAGATTATCTGTCGCAAGATACTGCTTATATGATATTACCGAGACTCGATGACTTGCTTCAGATAAATGGTGAGTCGCCACACTTTAAAGAAATATTATTCAACTCAGAAGTGAGGATTGCTTTGAGTGTGTTTTTTTTTTTGTCGAAGATTTTATTCAATCTTGTTTCGTTTCATTTTTCTTGACATAGGCGACTTTTTAAATCGACTGAGGGCGAGTGAAGGCGAAAATACTATAGTAAACAGCATTGGAGATATCTTGGAAGAACAGGTAAGAAAACTCATAAGTGAAATGAGGGGAAGATGGAAAATGTACCCGCGGAATATGTTTTCATTGAGATTTTCTCTTTTCATAACAGTTCAGTGGAGAAAACGGCGAGAAGATGAAGAGCGCTTATGGCGAGTTCTGCAGTAATCATATGGAAGGTGTTGAGCTTTACAAGGTAAACATACCGATCAATTGCTGTGCCTCGTCATCAAACCACTTGTTGAAATGTGAAATTTTCGTTGGGTACGAAAGAAATTGTTTGCTTTTTGTTAAGATAATTTTTGATTTTTTTATTTGGTTAGAAATTACTAAGAACGGATAAGAAATTTGCGGATTTTATCAAGGTAAGTATTGGAAGCTTAATGATTAAGAGTAGTGTACGAAGGAATTAAAAGTACAATTGATTTACACATTTCTAGGAAATGCTTCAAAACGTGGTTCGTTATTATTTGGAACATTGTCAATCGAGTGTTGAAAGAAATCCGAGATGATTTTTGTTTTGCTTCACTTTACTCTCTGTTTGATCCAGAAACTCGCACCATCCTGTCAATGCAATTAGATGCAAAACGCTTTTTTCACTTTTCCTGCATAGTTGAATAAAATCTCGCATTCTGATTGGTTAACGAAGCGAGGTATTAAACGTGGAATTGCGAGTTGAAAACGAGGCGAAGTGATATTTTTTCGCCTCCCGTGTTTCGCGCTAAGGATAAAAACAAACAATGTTATTGCTGTTTCAATTTATTTTCTCTTGCCTAACTAAGTGTTAATACCCAAGCCACACGTGCACGCATTGCTGACCTTTTTTTTTTTTGTATTTTGAACAGAAATGCAACACTAACAAGTACTGTCGACGTCTGTCAATCCCAGAATGCATCACGCTGGTCACTCAGCGGCTCACCAAGTATCCTATGCTTATTGAAGCTATTGTGAAAACCACCAAGGGTATGTTGATCATCTACACCCTTACATCAATATGCATATCATCCATGACGAAGGGCAAATGCTCGAAACGTCAGCTTTTTAATTCTTTACAGTGGCCAATTTACAATTTCAACTTAGTTGATATAACCAAATTACCTTGTTACCCCCACCGACGCAGCACCACAGATTCTTAAGAAACTTACGTCCTTTATTCTATTCTCCATACCGTTCTTTATGCATTTTCCAAGGTACTGAAAAGGAGAATTTGTTTAACAATCAAGAGCCTCTTTGGTTGTTGATCGTTCCCTCTATTCTCGTCACCTCAATTAGATGCTTTTTACCCTTAGGGGTCAAATTGTTGAATTATCCCGCGGAGTACAGTATATTTCTTCGTACATACCAAACAAGACCCTCACTAATTAGTTCTTTCATTCTGTCGCACGGGTTCGGGATGTGCGCCATCACACTTTGTCACGCAACAACGTCTCTCATGCATTACGTGACTCTTTGAGGTCAAATTGTTGAATTATCCCGCGGAGTACAGTATATTTCTTCGTACATACCAAACATGAACCTCACTAATTAGTTTTTTCATTCTGTCGCATGAGTTCGGGATGTGCGCCATCACACTTTGTCACGCAACAACGTCTCTCTTGTATTGCCTGACAGGAACTAACAAGAACTAACAATGGCTAAAAAGGGGAGTTTGAGATGGAGGAGGGGGATATTTTGGTTTCTTAAATGTTTTATTTTTCATATTCATGATTTTCGTTTAATTAATGGACGCCAACCACTTCGGTCATAACTAACAGCAGCCGCAAGAAACTTTTGAAAAGCGCCGGGAAAACGAACGTGATCGGGTCACGGTTGGTCTTGGTTTTGCATCGAGCTGTTGGTTGATTCGCAGAGATAGTCATGATGTCCATTTAGAGACCTTTTCAGGCTATCCTCCCATTTCAATTAATGTTATCAATTTTGTTGCCGGTTTTTTTTTTTTTTTCTTTAGAGTCCAAACCGGATTTTAGCTCGCTCAAGAACTCCATCACTCTTGTAAGGGTAAGGCCGCCTCTTAATTCGCCTTAATGCTATTCGAAACATGTGAACAAATATTAACTATTTAATCGATCAAAGCGGACATCCGGTCGTAGTTTAGTAGCAATCAGATTTGTTTGTTATTGCCTCCAGATGATATTACAAAGTGTCGATCAGACGATAAAGAATTACGAGAAACAGAAGGTATGTGATCAATACATTGCGTAACAAGCGCTTACCCAATATCATCCCCAGGCGTTCACTTTTGTCTCTTTTACCGCGTGCAGTCTGGTTTGGGGTGTGCATGTCTTAGTGACGTCACGGCTCGCTACAGGGTCCAAGGTTTGACAGAGCCGAGAACACCAAGGGAGTGCTTTTTAAGCCGGCCCATATTGTTTGAAACAACCTGTGCTTAAAAAGCTAGCCTTGTAAAGTGTAGGTTCCTGTGATAAAAAAGAGTTTTAACGAAGGTCTACCCTGCCTGCCATTTGAAGTTGTGACTTGTGACTCGACTAACTCCAAAAACAATTAGAATATTGAAAGTAGAACGGTATTGATGTGGCAGTGGCATGCAGTGCTGAAGTACGGGTAACGATATTTGAATGTATGAATTATTCTTCTCTACTGTAGTTACTTCAAGACATGAAATTGAAGCTGGATTTGAAAGTAACCGTTAACTACAAGAATGGAAAAATCAAGGTAAAAATGTTGTCGATTCTCTCCAAAACTCATGCGGTGTTCACCTTTGCAACAAGTAACTAGATAGTCATCCATTCCTTTCCCCCACCAGTTTCATGACAAATCGCCACACAGATATAAATGTCACGCAATCAAAGCAGGAGCGAAATAGTAAATGCTGTGATAGTAAGGAACAGGTTTGGGTCGGTTCTTTACCCTAATTGTTAGTCTCTGATGGATCGCTAATTTTGATGAACATATTTTCTAGAACATCGACTTCGCATCAAACACAAGCAAACTGGTGCACGATGGTGTATTACTGTGGAAAACAGCCAGGGGTAAACTGAATGGTAAAGTACTTACCCATTTTATGTACATTGTAATCGGTTAATGGCATTCTATTGAACAAATGCACAGATATCGGAACGAGAAAGAGAAATTTTAAGGAAAGTTTTTAATGAAGTACTATATATCCAGAAAGAGCTTTATTTTACCTTTCGTGAGCAGTAACGTTTATCCAGGGTAACAAAGTCTCCTTCTGATCGTAAAACGATGAAAGAGCCAATAATACGTTCCCTTCACCAATTTTTCAAAAATCCGTATTGGACTGACGACTGTTTTTACGTTTTTTGCGCTCAAGTTAGAGTGGGCTATTTACGCTACTGTTTCTTCACAAAAGCTACCAATCGTTGTCGACCTCTGTCTTTTCATGTTTCCAAAACGTAAGGTTTGATTATTAGCTCACTTGACCTTGCAGAAACTCGAGTCCTTATCATGGAAGAGATGTTGGTTTTCCTCCAGGAGAAGGATCAGAAATACAGTTTGCTGTCATTAGACCAAAAGGTTAGGAGCCGGTTTGTGCTGTGTGCAATTTTCTTTCTTGTTATTTTAGGGAAAATTCATTACTTGACGAAGGAACTCCGCATTTAATTGCTCGCGAAAATGAATCGCATAATTGAATAAAAAAGAGAGAAAAAAGGAAACAGCATTACATGAAGTTGTTATGTTTACGCAGATGCGAAACAGTATCACTTAGCATCGTTTTCAATTCGCAATTCCACGCTTAATACCTCGCTTCGTTAACCAATCAGAATGCTAGATTTCATTCAATGATGCGATTCTACTCGAAATAGCTGTCAAGGTAGTTAAAGTGATTTCGTTGTTTGTAAACACCACTTATCTAACGAATAGATGGCCTTCACATTTCTTGTCTGTTTCCTTGAAAATATTAACGTAAAGCGCCCAATTAGTTCTCTGAATAAGCTGTGATACGCTTTTTGCATAGAAGGTTTCCCATTAGTGCCTTTCTTTTTGAAACACCTTTAATGTTTAGCTTCATGAGCCTGTGACTCAAAGACGAGCCTGGTGACTCCCAATCAGCTTATCTGCTCTGAAGGTTCACTGCCACCTTGAGCAAAAAAAATTAAGGTGGCGTTGAACCTACGATGAATTGTTTTAAATATTGATCTATCAAATAATTGGTGTTGAAAATTATGAAACCATTTTCAGCTACTGTGAACGGATCGAATACCCTGTTAATGACTAACCTCCCAAGTGCATCCATAACTCGATGGTTTCACTCTGCACTGTGTACGCTAATCGTTTCTTAAGTTAAGTGAACTTAACATCACTTCTGTTCTTTCGTTAAGGCCCCAGTTGTGAGGCTAAAGAAGCTCATTGTGCGCGAAGTCGCAACTGATAGAAAAGCCATCTTTCTCGTGAGTACCAGTAGTCAAGGACCAGAAATGTACGAAATAGTGTGCGAATCGGCTGCTGAAAAGAAACGGTGAGTGCGGCTTTACCTTGTGCTTTTCCTTTAGATTAAGTTAGGAGAATTTTTTTTCGCATCCAAATGATACATGCCAAGTGATGAGTCTGTTTATTCATATCACCTGTTTAAGAGATGGTATTTTAAAACTGTGCGGATAATTTCCTATTTTGATCGCGTCTGACTATTAGGCCCGGACTAGTTAACGTAAAAAAAAACAAAAAACATAGCGACAGCAATGTTAAGAAAAGCTGCTATCTTTTGCTTTGTCGTTTTAACCCTTCACACCTCTATATCAGTATGCATGTTTTCTGTACATTTCCTAAGGTGCTGACAAGAGAAACGTTTTAACAATCAAGAGCTTCTTTAGTTGATGATCATTTCCTTTATTCTCATAACCTTAATGTTTGATTCAGGGGGGACGTTGTAAGTAGAAATTAGATGCTGGTCACTTTTAGGTGTCAAAGGATTAAACTTTCTTTATAAGAGGTCCTTTGTGTTTGGGTAATGTTTTCATTATGCGCTGTTGCTTGTGTGTGTGGGTTGAACTGTTTCAGTTCCTGTAGTAAATAAGAGATATCTGCTAAATCAAGAGGAAAGCAATAGCAAAGGGGGAAAACAAAAAAAACAAAAACAAAAACAAACAAAGAAACGAACCAAAATCAGCTCCCATTGCTAAGCTGAGCTTTTGAATTAACTCCATTATTTTTCTGATACCGTCATTTTCTGTTGGTATTTCTTTCCTCTGGCGAAGTCTTGCTTGAGTGCAAGGTTTATATTTTAACGTTACTTTTCCTGATTGTGTTTAGCTGGATGGAGATAATTCGCGAAGCAGTGGCCAACGCCCCAGGAGATGAAAGTGAGCGACCGATTTTTATGTTCAGACTGTTCTCTTCTCCTTGGAAAAATGCTGAACGCAATAGGAACCTTTGCTTGTGGAGCATGCCTCATTCACACGATTGATAATATGCTGAGGATGATATGCTTAACCGCAAAGTTTACCACCAATACTTAGTTCTTATTAACCGAGCGGGAGGTCTGTATGGGAGAATCTTGACCGAGGTGGCCAGTACAGACCGAACGCAGTGAGGTCTGTACCAGCGACCGACGTCAAGATTCTCGCATACAGACCGACCTTCCTCGGTTAATAAGATGTTTATTATATGGATGTGTCTAGAAAGAAACGGAACATCATATTCTTCGTAACTTTTTTTCTAGACCGGTCAAGATACCGGTCTAGATGGGAAAATCTAGACCGCTTTAAATATTGATTTCAGCCAATCAAATTCGTGAATTCGGTAGTTACCAGTCCTTGTGGGACAGCCTTATAATAATGACAATTACAGCCTGTATAATTCTATAGCTTCCAGGAGAATGATGTTTCTGTTTTAATTTCGAAAGTGGCGCTCAATTTGGCGTAAAACTTGCCGATTGCCCCTTTGCTAGATGCAAACACACAAGGGGATTTCCCAAGCCAGTTATGTTGATTTAGCCTTTTCTCTGGCATGAATCGCGTTGACCGATTGATCGCTTAAGCTGTTCGCAGCAATCAACGCATAGAATCACGGGAATGCAGGCGATTACTCTATGAAGTATTTTTTTTTTACTTCCTGCAGATCCTGATGACAGTAGTCTCATAACCACAGCTGAAGGCGAACGAAGGAAGATAATTTTACGTAGAGCCAGTGTACTTATTGGTAGGCATTCCTCTTTCTTCGTTGCTTTTAATATATTAATTTCCCTCGAATTAACCGCCTTCCTTGTAGGCGCTTGGTGAGAGTGCTATCCAATAACACGAAGGCGAGAGATCATACACGCTGGTCTTGGCGCGCATAAATCAATTTTTTTTTTTTTCACTTGCACTGCTTTTCAAGCTTTGTGCATGTTGACATTTTGGTTGTTTTGTAGAACAAGTACATAACAAAGACCTTGAGGATGCGGATAGAGGAAAACACTTAGCTGAGATGCAGGTGAGCGTCTGATATTTTTTAGCTTACAAAACAGATGCTGATAGTTGCGTATTTATTCGAGCAGAGGTAAGCGCGACGCGAAAGCGAAGGTAGCTTGTGACCATGTTCTCATTACAGCGCTGCAGGACGCGCGTTTCTTTCCCCGCGGGTAGATTGAGGCGAGTTAGGAGATGTTTGCCGGGGTCTGGCACAAACAATGATCATTGCTTAACCCCTTTCCAGACCTCTCGCCCGCTTGCGTTGCTCAAGGCCTCATTCTTTCCCGCGGGCTAGCAACGGGTTAAGAGGATGGACTCTCACCGACTCCTGCGCTCATGATCACGCAGAAATGGTTCGCTAGTTCTGAATGCAGACGCACACACAAGCACGTAAACACGCTCGTGGATGTACTTAGACAACAAAACTCTTCAGCCGTTCTGGGAAGGGTTGTTCAAAGCTGAGTTAAGTTAACCCAGGGTTAGCGTGAAATTTGATTTCAGATCTGAAAGCTTTAGGAGAAAGTTCAGTTTAATTATTTTGCGTCTACAATTTGCTGATCGGATGCTCTAAAAAGAACAGGCAAAATTATGTCATAAAGGTTCTTTGAATACTGAAATAAGGAAACCTGAATCAAAATTTAACCCCGGATTAGTGTTAATCGGCCTTCGAACAACTGGACCCTGGTTCTTATGTAAAAGGTGCTTAACTGGAAACCTTCCCTTTTAGATTCTTATACGCGGCTCTTCACTGTATCCGTTGTTTCATACAATTGGATTTCTATTTTCATTTTCTTTTTTTCAGGAACTCGTCAGTCAAATAGAGGCTATGGAAAAAGAAAAGGTAAATACTGAATAGAACGCAAAACCAGAGAAGCGCCTAGATAATGTTAAGGTCTTGTAAATAGTTTATATTTTTAAACGCTATTTATTTATTGGCCCGTGTGTTGTTCTTTTCAGTCCAAAATGGATGCTGACAAAAGCAAAGAACTGGCAAAGACCAAGTATGTGGATATTTACCCCCTAAGAGTGATCGGCTTCTAATTTCTCCTTACAATATCACCCTTGAATCAAAAGTTGAGGTCCCGAGAATATAGGAAATGATCCCCGATTTTAAGAAGCTCCTGGTTGTCAAACAAATTCTCTTTCTCAGTATTATAAGAATTGTAAAGAGAACATTGTGGAGAATATAAAAGCTAATGTTAGGGTGCAAATGGTCAAAGATTTTCTGAAAAAGCAATTTTTGCTGCGCTTCAACTCCTTTCTTTGTAACATCCTTGCTTTGGTTGTGGTAGAGTTTGTCTAGTCGTACTTTGTACATTGCCACCAAACCAAACCTATGAAAGCCTGTTTCGTAGTTTAAAATCGCTAATTTGAAACAAAATAGCTGGGTTTAACTTGAAACATTAATGAACATAAGAATTGAATTTTTGAAGGCGCTATAAACAAAGGAGCTGTAATGCACATGAGTTCGTTCATTAGATATATCAGGGAATCGGTTTTATTGATGTCAGAACTCCGTCCCAGTCGAGTGGGTAAGTTTCACGTCTAGCATGATGATCTTATTTTGTTTTCAGGGATTCCCTGGTGATCGCCATGCAGCAGGTGCAATACACAGTATCCAGCGAGGATCCTTCATCTGAAGAGGCCCAAAGTGATACTCAAGCATGCCCCTCGTCCTTATCTGTACCTGGAGGAGTGCCCAAGAGGGCTGAGACTTTTAGTGGCTTTGATAGCAAACTCAAACCCGATAACCTCAACAAAGACAACATCAATCGAGCGAGCTCCATGAGGACGGAGAGACCTGGGTCGGGTTTCCCATCCAGACAGCTGCCGGGTGCGGCCAGTCCTGTGGCTGGAGCTAGTCCAAAGACTAAACACAAGCGAAGGTCAAGCGGGGGAGGTGGTGGGGGCTGGTCATTCTTGAGCAAAAGCAGCGGGAAGGAGGACAAGGAACAGAGTGGAAGTACAGGTATGAGAGGCTTCATGCGGCATACATGTGGCAGCACCGACAAATAAAAGGGAGAGTGTTTGGATTGCATGCAGATGAGGCAACTTCAGAGCGCAGCCTAGAAAAAGGGTTTTCATTATATTTATATGAATTACCCTAAAACGTATATTTTTCGTTAGACAATCGTGTTTCCTAATTTACTTTCTAATGACTAACCTTCAGAGTTTCGAAACATCTCTGCCAAAGGAAAGTCTTTCTTTCGGGACTGCCTTCGGTCGAACGATAAACTTCAAGTTATTTTCTTAACGGCACTGAACACTCTCTTTCTCTTCCTTTTTGCCACCAAACTCCCTTTCGTAGCTTCCAAAAGAAGACAGGGTTGGGAGAGGGGAGGGGAGGGAGCGGAGGAGCCTTGTGTGACATTACAAATAGCGGCCACGAGATAGACTCCGTCTCTCACCGCTGCTCGGACAAGCCTGGTAACAAGTTCGTCATTTGTACGCATAATCGATTTTCGTAACCGAGAAAGGAAATGAAATACGAGGGGCTGATTTCTCCTTCATCCATATATCGTAAGATTACATTTCTCACCATCCTTTCAGGTGATTTAGCTTCGGATTCGCCGTCCTCGTCTCCAAGTCCAACTCCTACACCCTCGCCGCTGCCCGGACAAGAGGTGACATTGCAATTTATTTTTTAGTTGAAGTGAAATGCTTTGGTTTCACGACATCATTTACACATAGATTACATTACCTCACCTTTGCCTTTGGTCTGTGTGAATGTATAGAGCTCTCTTTAATTTTTCTAAATTGACACTTGCTTTGCTATATTCGTATAATCTTTTACAAAATCTTATTGTAGCGTTTGCGGCGACCAAAAATCTAAATTCTCAAGTTCAAGGGGGTGTCGCTCCAAAACGCGGTTAACGAGGTGTTTGGGGACTATTTTACAGATCGAAATAACAAACCAAAGCTGACTGTTTGCACGAATCTTTATTCTTGAAAGGGAATTGACCACGAACCACAATCAACGATGAAATATCATGATCAATCTCACCGCAATCAATCAGTCTATCGATCCTAAACTGAAACAACAATACAACGAAGTTCTATCAATCTACTGAAATGTCGCGGAATACATAATCAAAGAATCGCATGTAAAATACTGGGCCCCAACGTCGATAACGAGATTAACAGTACAAATAAAACAGAACAAAAGTTACGATACAAATTAAAAGAATTTTGGTGGCCCATTGTTCTTATTTAAATGATGGGTGTTCACTCGCATTTGGCACGAATTTGGCCTTTAAAAAGAAAATACGGCAACATCTGTTTGTATATTGTCGCCCAACACTGAAAAGACTAGACTAGAAAAAACAAAGTTACAAAGGTACTCACATATCGGTCCCGCTTGTGCCAGAGGTTGAGAAAAGGAAAGGGCGAAAGTTTACCAAGACTATTCAAAACTTACGAAGAACTGATTAAAGCCGGGAACGCTAAACTTGCCTTTTATATGCGCGTGGTGACGCTGAAAGGTCCAATTACAAAACCAATAGAAATACAGAAAAACAGAGAGACATTGTAACTATGTACGTATCTATGATCATCCTGAAATTAGTGAACTAATCAATAATCAATCAAAAAATGAGCCTTTTGACTAGTGTCCTCAACAGTTATTGCTTTACTTTTTCAACAGCCTGACACCGCTACAGACAGCGACGGGTAAGCCACAACCTGCTTCTAGTAGTTGTTTGAGACCACGTCAACATCCACTTGGCTTGCTCAACAGTGATATTATTTATAGGCAGAATGATTTGTTGCATTCACTGATTCCCACCAAGGATAAGGATGACGATGCTGTTATCGTCGAAACATCGTGACTTGTGCGTTAAAATGCGCTTTTAATTTAAAAAAACACAATGAAGTGACCTGTAATAACTTAATACTGATTCAGGCCTGTAGTACATCATCCTTGGCACGAAACCGCGCACTCCCCACAACTGAAAATGAAGATGTTTTTATCTGGCATGCAGCACTTGTATTGACGTCAAGCTATTTTTTTTTCTTGTCCTCTTCAGTGGAGTTAAAAGTGCGCGCTTTAGACCTGTAAAAGAACAAGGCGGCAACACATCACCTCCGTTGCAGATCAAAGCTGACCATCAACAAGGCAGGCTCAAGCACAACCTGAGAGAACAAGTACAGCAACTATCGTCACCGCGGGCTCTGCGCAAGGCCCTTCCTTTTATTAAGGACGAGGAGGACAAAGAGCGAGAACAAAAAGACCAGAGTCCGGCAGGCGCTACCCAAGAAGTTATTTATTTCTGATAGGTAAGGTGGAACGGGTTTTATGCTATCAGAGCTTAAATGCCCCCCCCCCTCCCCTCCTCGTATCCCCCTTTTCTCGAAATTTAAAATGAAATGTGAGAAAGCGTCTTCATCGGCAATTATTTGAGGACGGGTGGGTGGTGGTTTTTGTAACAAGAGGTAAGGTCAATTGAGGGTGATTAGAAAGGTTTCAATAAAACCCTCTGGTCTTTCAAACTCTACCCAAAATCTC